TCTTTAAAATTAAAAAGAATAAAACCAAGCTTACTGAAAGTGTTTCCAAAGCAATGTTGTCACTCCAGTAGATCATCAAGGGTTTAGGCTCCTTTTGTTCCCTTGCTCCATCTTCCCCCACAATGCACTCAAGCCATAGTCACAGAAAACTCTGGGCATGTTATCCCAATCTTAGCCAACACTCAGGTTGACCTTGCTCCCACCCTAACCTTTGCTTTCATTCTGTACTCAGAAATTCTATATAACCTTTCCTCTTGTGTTCTATTCATCAGATTTTTTTTTCCTAAATGGTCACACTTCTATATAAGGAGGACTGGCGGAGTCCCTTCTACTAAGGGACCACATACCCAGCTGAACCTCTGTGGTTTCATTGCCTATCAAAGGGAGAGGTGCTATTGCAGACAGTCAGTCTACCTTAATTGACCGTAATGATGGCTATGGCTACGGCTGATGCACACACATCCACCAGGAATACATGTCTTTAGGAAACTTGGTAATGCCCAGTGCCTGACTTCATCCTGACACTGTAAAATCTGTGAAATGTTATCACTGGGCTTAAGGTCCAGCAAAGTTCAATAGTGAACTTGGGGAGACCTCAAAGTACCAGAAAGTTCATAAAACACTGAAAAGTAGGACTAGGGAGAAAGACTGAAGACTCTAGAAAACTTTCAGTGAGTAGCCAGGTCTCTTCAAACTGTGAGTATTAATCAATGGTGGCAGTGGGTTATGCTCTCCTCTACCAAAGGCAAAAAACAAGACAGGAAACAAGATGGGAGTTCAGTGATATGGGGGCTACTATGCAGGGAAAAGTGGTGGAGGAGATGTCGGTGCACATAAGTGCTGTTTCATTGGCATCTAGCACCTAGGGAATATCCAGTGAGTATTTATGGAATGGATTGTTTAAAGCTATAATCCTCCTGGAGAAATAGAATACAGACATGAAGAAAACTAGCCACAGGTATGTAATTCATCATGGTTTTCCAGAAAAAGTAAAATAATGGAATGAGAAAGAGAGAGAGAAAGAAACAGAGAGATGGAGATAAAACACAGACACAAGGAACACTGACTCATGAGGTTCTGGCAATGGGCAAATCCAAAATCTTAAGGGTAGATGAGTAGACTAGAGACAGGGGGAGGCAATGGTATAGCCATGTAAGCATGGAGCCAGCCTGCCCTACAGAATTCCTTAGGGGAAGGTCTGTCTTCTAAAGGTTTTCAGCTGATTGTATAGAGCCCATAATACCATGGAGAACAATCTATTTATCTCAAAATGTCTTCCCAACAACATATAAACACATTTAACCAACTACCTAGATACTGTGATCTAGCCAAGTTGGCATATAAAATTAATCATCAGAATCCTAGAATTACTAAAAAGACAAACTCTGGACAATTCTCTGAGGGATTATCTAGTTTCGGTTAATTGAGATAGGAAGATCTATCCTAAATATAGATAGCACCATTATCTGAGCCAAGGTCCTGGACTGAATAGAAAGGAGAAAGCAAGTTGGGCATTAGCATTCATCTCTCTCTGCTTCCTGACTGGGTTTGCAATATGAACCAGCCACCCCAGGCTCCTGCTGCCCTGATGGACTTGAACTGTGAGCCAAAATAAACCATTCCTTCCTTTGTTTTTCCCCAGGTATTTTATCACAGCAACAAGAAACACAACTAACACACCATCACAAATCCCTCTGAGTTGTGTCCAGCAATAGTGCCAATGCCCCTAGGACATGCATCTTGCTCAAAATGTCTTTTGTGGGCAAAATAAGCATGTTACTCAAAGGAGTGTTTTGAAATATGAAAATGCATCAAAGAGGGACTTAGTCTCCCAGAGAAAATAATGGATTTTCACTTCAGAGTCAAAAGAAATTAAGAATAAAAACAGAGCAGGGAGGACCTGACCATACAGCACAGGACAAAGCAGAAAGGCAGAGACTGATTAAAGCCTCAAGAGGTGATTGATAAAGACAATGGCAGATGGGAAATGGCTCGAGTAGTAGATGGGTATTTGACTGAAATTGAGTTTTCGCCCTAATTTCCCCCTAACAGAACCAGAGAATCGGGGAGGGGGGGGGCTTATATTAAATGATACGTGTGAATGTACACACTTATATTTGAGCATATTTAAAGGGAAACAAATGAATTCAGGCAGGGCAGGGTGAGCTAATTAACACTTTAAAAAAAATGTGAAACAGGAAAACATCCAGCTTGGGATTCCACAGCCAGCCAGAAATCTATGGGTGCTTGGAGATATGCTCGATTTTCTTCTGGTCCTGTCTCTTGGAAATTCCATCCTGATTATTTCCTTAAGTCTAGTAGCATTGAACTTTGAACAACTGGCTCCAAATGTGCCATAATCTTTTCTGAGCACCTGTCCTCGATTCTGCCTAGTTCAGAACTGATAAATGCAGGGAGCAGAGGTTATCCTTGGCTTAGGAGCTCCCAGACATTGGACTCAGCAGTAGAGGTGAAGTGAGCTAGCTAAGCCCCCACAGATTGACCAGTGCCTTACATTCATGACCAGAACCCGAGCAGGGCCTGTCTGCTCTCAAGCATAATCATGGTGGTGAATTCCTCAGTCAGCACCAAGTCCACCAAGTATTACCTTCATCTTCCACTCTCACGGTTTTGCCCTAACTCTCTCGATAGCTTCATTCACTGTTCTGTGCTTGCCCAGGTCCAGCATCCCAGGCCCAGCCTTCTCAGTTCTGTCTCTCTGAGCTGTCAACGTATGCCGATGTCTGTACTGTGTCCTCTATTTGGAATTTTTCTCCCTGCCCTTCAACTTGAAGGACTGACTCACTCCATCCTGGCAACTGGCAATTCCCAAATCTGCAGGTGGATCAGCAGGCTAGAGTTGGAGGGAAGCTTTGTACAGTGATGTGTCTACAGCCAGCCTGCAGCTTGGAGAATTCCAAGCCCAGTCACTCACTGGTTTTCCCATGAATCATCTCCTTCCCCTCCTTCCCTTCCTTTCCTTTCTTCTCCCTCTCTCCCTCTTCCCCCTCCTTCCTCTTCTCCCTTTTCTTCCCCCCTCCCCTTTCTCCCCCTCCCCCTTTCCCTTCTCCATCCTCCCGATCCTTCCCTCCCCCTTCTCCTCCCCTCCCTTCCCATTCCCTCCTCTTCCACTTCTCTTCTTTATTATATTTTAATTTTGTGAGGACTGAATGATTATGAAAACATTCTGTTAAACTAGAAAAGTGTAAGTAAAAAAATGTCTCTAGTCTTACCCTCACCTGTTTCTAAGAACAAGAAGCACCTCCTAGGGGCCAAGGTTTCTATTTGTTGTCACTGGTTTGGTGGGTACCTACAGCCATCAGATACCCCTGGATAGACTTATCCAAACTCTGGAGCACCCAGGCTCTTGGTATTTCTCCATAACATCCTATCATGTTCTGCACTGTGATCTCTATAGCCAAGATTCTCCTATCCAAAATGAGACTCACTTACAGGGTGTATATTTCCCTGTCACAAAGCTTAGGAGAACTGACTCCATATTTGGTTTCACTCATTAGGCTTTTCTGAGCACTTGTCCTGAGCCCTCTTCATCCAAGGCCAAGGATGAAAAAAACAAAGCCTGGCCCAGCCTGAAAGAAGCCATAAGTTTAGGCAACTTTTCTCTACCACAAACAAACAAATAACAAGTTGGCAGAATTCTTAGATACCAACTACACAGAGACCCTAAACCCTAACTGTGTGGCTGACACACACAGGAAGTGATATTTATTACAAATACACCTAGAAAAGTTGCAAAGCAACCATTCGTTATGAGCAACTAAGTCTCAAGGAGGGGTAGCATGGTTGGTTTTGAGAGGGTTAATTTTGAGGCCTTTGCAAAGCTCCCAGAGGAGGGTGAGGAGAGGGGTCCTCCAGAGCACCTGGGTGTTATTTATGGTGCATTGAAGGCTGTCAACAGCATTCTTCCGGAGAATTTCGCCTGCAAGGGGAAGTCATTAAAAGGAGGCCCTGCCACACTGGAGCGGATAAAGCCTTCCAGCTTCTGGTTTAATCCCTCTGACCCTGGAGATGAATCTCATTTTCTGTTGACTTTTCCAGGCCTTCAGTCATCAACTGTTATTTATATTTTCAGCCAGTGTAGCGTGTAGTGAAGAGATACTGATGTCAGACAGATCAGGATTCAAATGTTGGCTCTGAATCCAACTGGGGCCTAAAGTAGCTAGAAGCCCATTTTCTCACCCGAAAAAAATGAAAATGGAAGCATCTAGCTCATAGGACTGTTGTGAAGAGAACTAATTGCATTTGGAAAAACTAAATTAAAGATTAATTTTGCTCAACAGGTGACAAGAGCTCCGAGAGCTGGAGATAGTGTGCAGTCAAGTTCATGTTCTCTGACCACAGTGCTGTCTCCTCCTTTGCCTAAAGACTACTTACTGTTCCTAAAGGAATCTAAACATGCAAGCCCCCACCCCAGCTCACAAGGAGTGGATAAAGAGCACCCCCTTAAGGTCTGATAGGTGCTTTCAGAGCTGGAATGAATGAACTGGGAGGGTGAAGGACTAAAGAATGCTTTTTTTTTTTTTTAAGATTTATTTATTATGTATACAGTACATGTATCCCTGCAGGCCAGAAGAGGGCACAAGATCTCATTACAGATGGTTGTAAGCTACCATATGGTTGTGGGATTTGAACTCAGGACCTCTGGAAGACCAGCCAGTGCTCCTAACCTCTGAGCCATCTCTCCAGCCTCAAAGAATGCTTTTCTATCCAAGTAGGTTAGATGTAATAGCCAAAATTCATTTTCTTCACTTTTTGTTGTGGTTGAGTGTTCGTTTTTTTTGTTTTTTCAAAAAAGAAAAAAGACTAAATAGATAATGAGAACATTTATATTTAATCCAGAGGAGGGGGAAGATATCTATGTCAAATACAATATCTTATCTCAGTGTGCAAAGAGGCAGAGCCTTAGTTCTAAGAAAACACAGCTCTGAAGCAATGACCTGAAGTCTTTTGAGAACTGAGCTCCAATCTTTACATTGATCCCAAATATTTGAACATGCTGAGCAGGAACATTCCCCAAAGGAAGATGAATATGGATGGTTTGCTCCAGTTTCCGTGGGCCTCGCAGAAGCATATTTTCATACCAGATTTCACTTCTGTCCTGTGCACAAGATGAAACTGAAAGGAGATAAGGTCAATACTGAAGCTCTGACTCAGATCCCATCTCAGTAATACCTTCGTCGTTTCCTGGGGAGGAAACACGGCTAATCTCTGTCTTTGAAATCGTCATTTTAGAGTTTTTGATGGAGAGAAAGAAACTGAGTTAGATGGGCCGGGGTGTTATTAGAACCATCACATTCCCCACGGTGGGCAGACCTAGATAAAACGTTTACACAGGAAAGCAGAGCTGAAACCGCTTTTTATCCAGCACACTGACCTCTGTGGGAGTTCTGACAAGCAAGATTTACGTGACTATTTCTTATGACGGCGCGTTCAACAAGAAAATGTATCTCCTAAGGTATTTGTATCAATCAACATTTCCTTTTGCTGAGAGAAAAAAAAATAATGCCTCCCCAAAAGAGATCTCTTAAAATATTTATAGACACATTTTCTATTGGAGTCTTTATTTGAATTTTACTACCATTTAGAATACAATTCTGACATCTTCATCATTAATGCCCCACCGTGACAACATTCCACCAAGAAATAGCATTACAGTACAAAATCTAGATGTGAAAGGACTACGGCACCGTATTAAAAGAAGGAAAAGGCAAATTCAAATAACAGGTCTATCTGAAATGATCAAAAAATGAAATTTTCTGTGGGATGAAAGCCTCCTCCGGAACCTAGCCATCTAAAATAAGATTAAAGTGGTATTGTATAAGAACTAAGGCAGAGTCAAGCTATCACTCCCTGAATGAAAATTTGCATTCAATGAGCAGGCACTGAAAAGACATTTTTAGTCCATTTTGGGTGTTTCTCAACCCAAGCTCAGTAACAATGGGGATCCGCTCATTTGTAGTCCCCAGGCCCCTCACCCGATGGATTCCTGGGAACTGCAGATGGGTGAGGAAAGGATTGAGAGCAAGCATCTTCCCTCCCACCAGCTCCACTCAAGAGTTCTGCGTGGAAGCTATTCGACTGGATTGGTACAGGAGTGACCTTAAAAAGCTTAGTATCTGGAGTCTCAGTTGGTTCTCTGGTTTTCTGGAGTGGTGAAGCCGTGGTAGGCCTCTGCTAAAGAACTCCAGGATCAAAATTGCTCCTTCTGCCACTGCTATGTTCATGGCCATAACTGTGACTGAAAAAGAACACTGAGGCAGTGCTACCAGCGTCGAGGACGTAGAGATCACAGGCCAGGCGAGCCAGCAGCCATAGGTGCTGCGCTAGGTCTGTGTCTAAACACAGAGCTCAGGACAGGAAGTGGCGAGTCAGTCAAGTGCTCCCTACACAAGCCGGGCCTGGGTTACATCCCCAGAACCCACACGGAAGGCCGCGTGTGGCAGTGTGCTCCTGGAATCCTAGTCTGGAAAGGTAGCTATAGGTGGATCCATGGAGCTTTGTGACCAGACAGACTCACCTAGCAAGATTCAGGTTCAGTGAGGGACCCTGTCTCAAAGCAAAACAAAAATAAGATGGACAGTTACTGAGGAACAACAATGGAGGTTTCCTCTGAATTCTACAACATATTCGAAATACAGATCCAAATGTGGATCAAGAGTAAATATAAAAGGGGGCTGCCGATGGTCCATCGTGGATAGGTCACAAGACCCCTCTCTGAAGACTTATTTGTCCTTAATGGATGCTTAGAGAATCATTTTCTTAAGCGCCAAAGCTGTTAAGTTGCTTGTGGTCAGTAAACACCCCACACCCTCACACACGTTCTCTCTCTCTCTCTCTCTCTCTCTGTATGTGTGTGTGTGTGTGTGTGTGTGTGTGTGTGTGTGTGTGTGTGTGTGTCTGTCTCTCTCATAAACAACCTTAATTAAAAAACCAAGAAGAAAACGGAAGGCAGGCTTTTGGGGGAAGAAAGAGGGTTTAGCAGGAGTGGAGGAGGAAAGAGAGAGGATAACAGGGAGTGAAAATGGCCAAACTATATTGTATGCACACATGAAACTGCAAATAAATAATAGATAAGTAAAACATCAGCAACAAAAAAAAGCAGACAGTAGAAATGATATAAAAAAAGTAAATGCAAATCAATTGGTTGGCACAAGGCTGACATGAAAGGGAGACTGCTGAGGACAGTGAAGTAGAATTGAGTTGGGACAAAGCTATCCATCATTTCTGAATAGCTGCTAGGGAATGTGTGGCTTTAAATCTCAAGAGAATCCAGATTAGGACTGTTGAGAAGGAATATAGACCTGGGCCACATTTTTAGAAGCCTTAGAGACAATCACCACCACCACCACCACCACCATCATCATCATCATCAGGGAACAAAAGAAAGATGCCAAAGAGTTGTGCCTGCAATGGAGAAGCATGTGTGGACAGGGAAAGTCAAGTTGATGTAGCATTTGTAGGTCACAATAAACAGACATCCTGAGACTGAAGTTGATTTCTAACTCCCACGCAAGTCACCAGGGCAACAAGGACAATAACCCCAGATAACTCAGGGTCAGTAACTGGAAACCCAGCCTGCCCTCTCCAGTCCATCCCTTGTATGTGCAATTGGGAAGAGGCTGATGCTTTCCCAGATGGGAGTTGGATGCCTCAACACCCAAAGAAGCTGCATTCCCAAGGGGCAGAGCTCTGGTGCCATGTGCCAGGATCATGGAGCTTCAGTCTGAACCTCTGTGGGGTCCTCTCCTTGGAGACCAGATACAATATTGCTCTTCCTGGAGTCTCTGTGATATGTCCAGCTTTTACTCATCACCCTTGCTTGATGTCCCAATCATCCTAAGGATCAAGGGCTGATTCCAGATGTCACCTTAGACACTACCACTCCCCTCAAGACATCTATCATGCCCCTCTCTCTGTCTTAGGATAGATATTTGCATATTGCACTATACTGCCAGAGACTAGAGGGTTGTAGAGGCCAAGAAGCATTCTATGTCTCTCTAGAAGAGTTCTTTCCTCTAGAGAGAGTGCTCAAACCATATATGAGTGATGGTCCCTCATCCTATATGCAGCCCCAGAATATGTTCCTAGATAGCTCAGACATGCCTACCTAGAAGAGGATTTAAATAACACTCAATCCAGCATCCATGTTTCAAGAAGAACCTAGAAATTAATATCAAACAGAATAAGCATCCCATGGTACAAAACCTGTTCCTGGCAAGGGGGACCAGAGAACTGGGGTTTCTCATCCTGGCCAGCAAATCCTTCATTCTGAGGAAAGTAACACTTACAGCTCTCTAGACAACTTCCCAGTTGGCTTAAAAGAGTCAGTAAATCCCTCCACAGGAACGTGGGCCGAGAGAGAGAGACCTGCTCAGGCTACACCCCTCCCTCCCGGGTGCTCACCTGGATCTTCTGCCTACAGCTCTCTTCCCACATGTCATCCAGTCACCACCTGGCTGTTAACCCATCACCTGCACAGAGAACACATTTCTGATAGTACAACCACACACCATGGATTATCATCACTACTTTTTCAATTTCTATGATAATTATTGAGACTTTAAAAAAAATAATCTTACTTGTTTTGTTGTGTGCTATCTTTTCACAGCAGAATGTGAACCTCTGAACTCTATGACTCCATCTGTCCCATTCTCTATAGTGGCTCTAGCACATGGAGAACTTGGCTATTGTTGTTACATACACGAATGAATGGTGAATAAATAAATGAAGAGAAAAGCATTTGAATCTGTACCTTATGACTTAGCAGCAGTCATCTGCACAAAGGGGTCAGGCAAGGGGATGACTTTTGGTATCAAAGGTAAAGTCCAAATGGCTAAGACTTGGATGGCTAAACTCCCTGTTTACAAAGTGAGGAGGAAGGAGATGAGGTTGAGCCAATCATTTTTATCACATCTGAATTATTCAGGGCTGAGATATGGCTCAATAGCAGAACTTATGTGTGGCATCCACTCAATTCCAACACTGAAGGGAGAGTAGAATGCAATGTATATAGTGAGTACTCACACACATTCATTAACATCACCACCACCCCCCACCACCCCCCACCCCGCCTCATGCTTATTAGAGAACCACAGCAAATACTTTCAAACTGAAAGTGTCATGCTGTTGAGTTTCTCCAGATATATAGAATACAAAGACATTTAAAGGCTCCTCTCCTGGGAAATATTAATGCACTGCAAGAACTAGTGAAGATGTGTTTTTAAGAGACTTTTGACCTCACATTTTTGTTTTCACTCAGATGAAATTCTTCCTTATTAGAGGTGCACTCGACATTAGGATGTAAGCATCTTCCAATCTGAATTTTTTATAGGTAAAGAAAAGCTAGCAACGTGGTTTGTTTCTCATTATGCTCTCCTACATATCCAGATCTGGCTAACAATTCAGAAGGATGCAAATAAAACTTTCTCCAGTGTGGCTCTGAGCTCAGCTGGTGCCTCCTAAGTTGACAGGGTAACATTTCACCTATTAGCACTCCTCAACAGAAAGTAGATTGTTCCGGTTTCAAGAAATATTTTTTGAATTGGATTTGGGTTGGTGAGAAAATGAATTAAGTCAGAAATTCTTTGGGGCAAATTGCATATTGAAATGAACAGTTTGATACAAAACCCTTTTGCCCCCCTCTAAGTTAAAAAAAAAAAGGCAGAAAGGATGGAGAAAAGCAGCGAGCTGGTCTGTGCGAATCTGTCACCACCACAGCTCTGACTGCTTTGCAAGACAATGTCTACAGTTTGAGTTGTACAGTCATTATTTGATTGGTATTGCATGCTATTTGTGGCTGTATTTTCAGAGAAATTTCAAAGCTGGTGATTTCCAGTTTTTGTTTTTGTTTTTGACTGAGCAGCTTATATTTATGTGCATAGATATATAAATATGTATGTAATAATAATAACAAAAGAAAGAAGGACAACCAATTTGAGTCAGAGTAAGTGGGGGCATGAAGTGATTAGAAAGAGGAAGGAGAAGGGAGTTGCTATGTACTTATATTTTAAATATTAATCATGGGGCATAGAGCTAAATACAGAATTGTCAGAAAATAAAATACAAATGGCTGACAAACAATTAAAAGTGTTTAACATACTTTGCTATTGGGGAAATGCAAATTACAACTTCTGTCCCTGTGGAGGTTGGTGATAAATCTTCAGATATGACCATTATGGGTATTACAATTGAAACACATATCTGAAGATTTCCAGTTTTTAATGATGGGAGTATTTATTTTCTACCCTAGCATAATTGTTCATGGCACCACATTTATTTTTTATGGGAAACAATGCAAAATGAAAACCAGAGAGAATTAGTAAATTGATCTTGTATCTGTCGAAGCTTGATGATGCATACGTGACCTAGAGGCTAGTAGACAGTGTGCTGACTTCACCATGTTGGAAAAACTGAACACACCACTGTTGTCAAGGATACAACACTCCTATCCTAAGAACAAAAGGAACAGAAAAGGCTAATGAGGGAAGAGGTCATATGACCCTGGTAAGCACATAGTCTCTTGTCCCTTCTGTTTGGGATTTGGGGTCATGTTGAGGCCACAGGTGCCACACATTGAAAAGTAGAGTGTAGATAAATTATTTTCACCCCCTTCCACTGAGAAAAAAAACTAAGTGAGCAGCCTGCTCCTCTGTGAGTGAATGAACACTTGCTTTCTGAGTTAGTCAAACAGGGTGGCAGACAGGCATGCACGTTTAAGGAGAGAGCGGGGCTGTGTTAGGGGATGTTTTTAGTGGCTGGAACATTGCTTTCATATGCTTTTGAATAAAGCTGTTTACTCTCAAGATACAGCACCCAAAGTTGGGCATGGTGGCACATACATACACCTCATCTCTTTGAGATTGAGAGCTTGAGGCTGACCAGGGTACACGGCAAGCTCAAGGTCAGCTTGGGCTATAGGAAGATCCTATCTCAAAAGCAAAAGATGAAACAACAGAAAAAAGAGAAAGTAGCCTGAGACCTGGGTCTCAGAAGGTATGTGATCTGCCCGTGTCACATAGCTAGTTTGTAGATCAAGTCTTCATAAAAATCCTTTCCATAAACTGAAGCAAGTAGACGGGGGCAGGTATGATGAAAAAGGGATGAAGATGCTGTGCTTAAGAACTCTGTGGATGGGCTGGGGATGTGGCTCAGTGGCAGAGCACTTGTCTAGCATTCGGGAGGCCCTGAGTTCAACTTTGTCATCCCAAAAAGAAAAGAAAAGCTCCGTGGAACAAAAGCAGGAAGAAAGCTGATAGGGAGCTTGGGGCAGCCTTGCTTCCCCCTCCACCATCTGTTTCTTGTCTGCAAGCCCTCCTCGGCCCTCCAGGCTTTGCTCTGCCCAGACAAGTCCTGGGCTTCTGGAATGCATCTGCGCCTTCTTATCTGGGAGCTAATCACTAAATAGCAGGTGGCTTTGGGGATTCTGTTTTTCATCTCTTGCTCTCTCCTCTTCTCTCTTTAACTCAGTCCCTCAGGGCTTATGAATTTCTGAACCTCAAACAGGAAACCTCTCTGATTTGTTCACACCTGGAATACCATTCTCTTTGTTTAGAGACTATAAAAAGGAGCAAGGAGAATGAGGGGAAGAAGCTGCTGTCCAAGGGAGAAAAGAGATGTCAGCTAATGTTAACTTGGGCTCTGGGAGGCAGCCACACACGCACATGTTTTAAACTAAACATTCTTCCTTTCAACTCCCATATTTCTCGGTTCATCTCCACTCCTGGCAAGCGTCTAACAAGACAAAGAGTCTTCGCTGTGTGTCACATTGGTTATCAACACTCTGCACAAATAGGTTGACAGAGGAAGCCAACGAAGTACCTCTGCAAACCTGTTTAGGGTTGAAATAACAACGCTGTGGCCTGCGGGCCCCTGGAGATTGGCTCACATTTTGTTCCTACAAATGTTAGGTGCTGGCTCTGGAGAGGAGCTGTCATCAGCACTCCGGTCCCTGTAGGTGCCAGGAAGTCTCAGCATTTTGTTAAAAAAAAAAAAAAAAAAGCGTTCTGTGCCCTCTGTGGACTTTCCATTTTGGAAAGGACTTTATGGGGTTATTTGACCTGGGCTCTTGGTCTCTCTCGTCATTTGTCTCTAGATTAAAGACCAAAGTTTATGATCTATGGAGCATTCAGCTCTCTGTGAGGGAATACAACAGAACACTGGACATCAGAATGTACACCTTCATCCATGCTTTCAGTCACTAATTTGTGGGCACTTGAACTCCATGGGAGCATTGTATTTGCATAAGTCAGTGTTTATATATTTATTAAGGAGATTATTAATAACCATACCATCAACAGTTCTGATATATTTATACTTGTTCATTATACACAAAGTGCCTGCTGTGTGCTGTAGTCAGGCTAGGTGTTGTGTATCCAACAGACAGTGAGGAAATCAAGCCAACTGCCTATCCCCACAGTGCAGATAGCAAAGAAAGCTGTGGAGGCAGAGTGGGAAGACTCACCTACTCTGGAGTACTGAGAAGAGAAGGCTGTGACTAACAGAGTTTAAACTCCTATGAGCATGATAGTTTCTGGTGTGTGTGTATGTGTGTGTGTGTGTGTGTGTGTGTGTGTGTGTGTGTGTGTTGCAGAGAGAGAATGAGTGTAGGAGGGATGTGTATGTCCATGTGAGAGAGACTGCACATACATTCATAAGTGCTTTTATCTTAAAATGTTTTTATCTATAAAATGCTTAGATTCAAAAATGTTCTCTATACTACAAGGTTTGGACATCACCTCTCTAACTGTACTCAAGGTTTGGATACCATCTCTCTGAATCATCCTGAAGAAAGGCCTTTCCACCTCAACTGAACAAGTCAACAACAGTAAGAACTGTTAGCCCACCTGAAGGGTTCACAACACGCATTTACCGGGCAGACACTTCTGCCTAGCCAATTCCAGCCAGGAATAGCCATTTCCAGGTCAAAGCGTCTCTCGTAGCCAGGATACCCGGCGGACCGGACATCTCCGCCTAGCAAGTTCCGGGCCAAGGGGTCTCGCGTGATCAGGGTCCGTGACGTTACATGGTCACGTAAGTGCGCAACGTGACCATGTGATCTACGCACACGCGTGGAGTAGTGACGTGACCTGGCCACGCCCCCAGCCGGTTTTAAAGTGGAGCGCCATGCTTCCCAGTTCTTCTCCTCTCCACGCACGTGTCTCTCCCACAGGCCTGCGCACTCTGTCCCTTTATCTCTAATAAACTCTTATAAGCAGATTCTGTCATGTTTCGTGATGTTTCCTTGCAGGGTAAGAACACAACGCAGCTAAATAACTAACACCACCACCATCCAACCACCCCTGGGGGAGAAATTCTTCCCTGGGTCTCAGCTGCCTTTGCTTCATTGGAAGTTAACTTATCATTCCCTACCACCCAGGAGTGTGGCCTCTCAAGGAATGTTAAAAAAAAAAAAAACAGAAAAGAACATTCCATTTGTTCCTCAATTCTATCTCTCCAGGTAGAGTCCTACATCTCTACCCTTTACATGGGCACGGTTGAGGCAGCAACTTGTTAACTTGGTATGCTGTGGAGGAGCAGGCCTCGTTGCTCTATTGGATATTCAGGTAATCTTCTAAAACAAAGATTAGATAGGTGGATTTACCTGTCAAGAATTTTGGATGCAAAATAACCCAGAAAATGTAGATGTATTTGAATGGGGGCCAAGGAGAAAAGCCTGTTAACCATGAAGTCCCATCTAATTAAAAGGGATATAACAATCTCAGCCCCCGGTGAGGTCTCTGTGTGCATACTCAAGGATTAAAACACAGGGGGCATTTCTTGTATTTATGTTAACTCTGTATTGAACAATCTGATGGGCACCAAGCCTGTGATTACTGATGGTATAGTCCTTCAACTATCTTCTGTCGCAAAGCCTGTGACAATGGGCAGAATGGTAGCATAGGGGAGATCAGTGTGCATAAAGGCACTAGGTCTGGAGTCAAACCATGGCTCTCTTCTGGTTTGATGTCTAATTCATGTCTTTCCTTTGACAAATTACTTCCCTCTTATCTTCAGCTCGATTTTCTGACCTGGAACATGAGCAAGGTTACTTCCAGCTTGTAGTTCTGTGATTCCAGGCCGGATACCAGCGAGGATTTCCTGTAAAGTCCTCCCTGCCTTGTCTGCTCGTGTGATTCTTCCTACAGAATCTTCTCCAGGGAGGACAGAAGCTGCGCTTGCTTGTGTTACCCCTATGCTGTGAGCTGTTCCTCCTGGGCTTCAGCAGCCTCTGCCCCAGGGCTCCCCAAAACTACTGCATGAGACAAGACTGGGACCCAGGTAGTCACTCAGTTGGTACAGTATTTACCTGGTATGTCCCCAGCATGAGACAGACCAGGTGTGGTTGTGCACACTTGTACTCCTGGCACTCAGGAGGGAGAGGCAGGAATTCAGGTTGTCCTCAACTACACAGTAGTTCAATGCCAGCAGCCCCTGTTACAGGAGACCCTGAAGCCAAATGGTCCTGCCAATTTGGGGAGTTAAGGGGAGGAGCTGTTTACTTAGTAACTAGAAACCTAAATGCACCAATCATGTGCCCCTCCCCAGCCCCCACTGCCACCAGGCCAAAGGAAAAAAAAAAGAAGAAGAAAGAACAGTGGGTTTTTGATTCAGTAAGACCACACCCATCCCCAACCCTGCTCATTACTGAGGTAATATCTTTATACACTGCCAGCAGGGCCTGTTGGTGTCTGTAACTGTTACTTCATTCTGACTCGTCACGCCTTGCCTGTGGCAGTCAACCCAGAAGCCATTGTTTCCTGATGATCTCTGGCCCACTTTTCTCAGATACTGAAAGGCATGGGGTTGGTGGACTTTCCCCAGTGAGCAGCAGCCCTCCACAGTGCCGCTTCCTGATCTCTTACAGGTCCCCTCCTAAAAAGCCACATCATGGAAGTTCCAGGAAAAGTCTCCTGGGTTCTCCAGCCTAATCGAGGATCTCACAGAGGGAGGTCTGGGAGAGCCCCACCCATGCAGGGAGAGAAGTGTATTTGCACCTTAAGTCAGATAAGAGCCCAGTGTAGTAGCTTACCCCAGTCACCCCACACTGACAAGGCTGAGGTCAGAGTTGGAGGCCAGACTTAAAGACATAGTGAGCTACAGACCATCTAGGCTAAAAGACCTGTCTGGGAAGAAAATTAAACGAAATAAAGTCAGATAAACCTCAGCCCAGCTCCAGTACAAAACTTCTTTTTTTTAGACCTTTACAATGTCTCCTCTACTCTGTGAAATGTCCTTTCCTACTCCACAGCCTCTCTTCATGAGATAACTTTATGCATTCTTTTCACCAAGTTCACATGCCACCTCCTCTAGAGAGCCTTGGCCAATCTTCCCCCATCTTCAGTAGATGTCCCTGATGCCTCCTGGACAGCTCAATGAGCTGGACAGAGGCAGTACCAGCAGGGTCCTTGCTGCAAGAGAGTCTACAGGCTGCTGCTGCTGCTGCTGCTGCTGCTGCTGCTGCTGCTGCTGCTGGCTAACTGGAAATGGAATCTAGGCCTAGGTACAATATACTAGGTAATACACCACTGAACTACACTCTCGATCCTTTTTGTCCTATATGACAAATGTAGGCAAGTCAGTCCCCAAGTGTTCTCTAGAAGCACAGCATCTCTGATAGGTTGTTAGATTACTTGCCCTATAATCCTAGTCTTCCCCTGTTATAAAGAAATCCTCTCAAGGAAGGTCAGGCTCAGCCCGAGAGTTTTAGACAAGTTAGCCACAACTGAACAAGTTGCCTGACACTCAGAGATGTTGTGGCATAAGTTTGTGGGTAAGGCCATCAGCACAGCTCACATGGTAACAACTGAGCTGCTATGAATCCACCCCCCACCTTCCCTCTGGCACACTGTAAACTTACAGGACACCTTAAGCCTCAGTTGTTACCATGTTAGCTATGCCGATGGCCTCACTCACAAACGTATGCCACAGGATCACCCTCACCAAGCCCAGTCCCAACAGACCATGTGAGCACATGTCCTTCACACACTGTCCACACAATCTGGAACAGGCCAGATTCTCCACTGTTCAGTGGTCCCAGATCCTCACTCAACAAGCCTGCGCCAGAGCCATGAGTGCACACATGCCACTCAGGGCTAACGCATTTGACAATTATTCACTGATCAAGTATCTAGTGCCAGGTCCCATACTAGACCAGCAAGTTAATGCCATCTAGAACAGGCTGCAGAGCCACCATTTCCCAGTCATTCGTGGAGGAAAGACTGCTTGAGGCAAGCATGGTGAGTCAAAGCTTGGCATGGAGGGATTGCCACGAAAGAGGACTGTTCTGAGCCTGGGTATGGGTCAATAGCATCTAATTCATCCATCAAGAATAAGGAAAAGAAAGCACCACAGTACCAGGCACCCACAGAGCAGTCTCCAAAGCAGACTATGGGTACAACAGCAAGTTAGGGGGCTGGCGTAAGAGATGGGAAAAGAGCAGAGAAAACAGAAATGATTTTTCCAGAAAGCTGCCACTTTTGTTTTCTAATGATGGAGACAACCCCCCCCCCCTCCGGTGTGCTAGGCAGCAGGGCAATCACCGACTGACACTCAGCACTTCAACCATGGCCAAAGAAATAGCAACACTTTCTTGACTTCCCTGTGGCCACCTCCAAAGTAGCTCCAGATCTGAGAGGTCAAGAGATCAGAAGCCCTCGTGGGAACAGGAAGAAACTCTGGGGCTACATTTAGATTTAGGGGATTGTGGGGATTGTTTAGCCACTCAGTATGGGCAACCTGTGGTGACAGCGGAGTTTGGTGATGCAGCGATCTAAAGTGACCGAAGAAAGAAGAAAAGACAGGCACAGATGGGGGAGTCCCCATAGCCGCCCGAAGCACAATATTGTTTATACTGTTTTCTCTTTTTAGGTGAAAAAGAAAGAGAATGTGATCTCAGGGTCCAGAGGTGGAAGGAAGGCCGAGGATGGGGTGGGGGTGGGCGGCAAGTGCCACCTCATAGGGCCACCCCTTCACCCCCATCCTACTCCTGGAAGACTGAAGCCTCCCATTCTGAAAAAACCAACCCTCTCTAGTCAAAAATAAAAATGACTTCCCAGCTGGCTTGTGTGCTCATTCTAGTAAAGCTCCCTGAAGAAATGCAGCCCTGGGCCTGATCTGAAAGCTGGAAGCCTCTGGAACCTCCCCTGTTTCTGCCATCACCACCTCATCTCCCAGAAGTTCCTTAAGAGGTAACAAGGATGCACCATCCCAGAAGGTCCCAGATGTTTTCCTGAGACCATTGTCAACTGTCACTGTAAGACACAGCTCTGGCATCTGACTTAAGGCAGCTTCGGAGTGACTCACAGGAGGGGCCTTCTTCACGAGGAGAGTTTTTCCACTGCAGGGAAGAAAGGCCAGCCCCTCCCAACAGGCCTCTAGGAATGCTCCTCCTCCAACAGCCCCTCACTAGACCTCAAGGTTACTTTAAGGCAGTGGTTCTCAACCTTCCTAACGCTGCAGCCCTTTAATATAGCTCCTCATGGTGTGATGATCACCCAACTATAAAATTATTTTCATGGCTACTTCATAACTGTAATTTTGCTACTGTTATGAATTGTAATGTAAACAATCTGTGTTTTCTTATGGTCTTAGGCAACCTAAAAGGGTCGTTCAACCACAACGGGATCAAAACTCAAAGGTTGAGAACTACTAATTTAAGTAAAGTGGAAATGAAGCAGGGCTGCAGTCCCTGACCCTGGCCAGGAGCCCAGAGGCTTTCCCCCCAATAGATCACAGCTGGGACAGGGGACTTCAGAGGTCCTGGGAACTGGCCTGTGTGAGTTCATACAATGGAGAAGTGGAGAGGGCTCCCTAACCCATGGGGTTTACCCACTGCCCTCCAACTTGGTTTCTAAATACAGTCCAATTATCCCAGGGATCTGTGCTGGCTGAC